CACACACACCCCTGCTGTCTCTGCGTCTTTACGCGCGAGCTTCCCTTTGCGCAAAAGCGGTCGACCCTCGCGTGGAGTGCTCCTCCGTGCGCACTTATGGATGACGAGTTCCTCTCGAACCTTCCCGCGGAGGCTCTGAGCCCCAACTCCACGGAGGTACCCGACCCGTGGTCGTCCGCGGACGGCACGGAGACCGTACACTTCGTGGTGCGCTGCGTGATGACCTCCGTGTATATTCTGATCATTGTCGTGGGTCTGCTGGGCAACATCACGCTGGTGAAGATCTTCATCACCAACAGCGCCATGAGGAGCGTGCCCAACATCTTCATCTCCAGCCTGGCGGCGGGAGACCTGCTGCTGCTGGTCACCTGCGTGCCCGTGGACGCCTTCCGCTACTTCTCCGAGGAGTGGGTGTTCGGAGAGGCGGCGTGCAAACTCATCCCCGTCATCCAGCTCACCTCGGTCGGGGTGTCGGTGTTCACGCTCACTGCGCTCAGCGCTGACAGGTAGGAGAATCACGGGGGCCAAAATCACAGAGCTACAGTGTTTTCTCGCGGTGACGGTGTGACACCAGCAGTGCCACTCTGGTCCTTCACGGCACTGCGTGAAACTGTGAAAACTCAATGATTCAAATTTGAAGCAGTTTTTAGTGTCAAATGAAAAATGAGGAGGTTAAAATGAAAGCACCTGTAACAGCTGATAGTTTTACGGAGCATATAACGCCAGCAGGCTGAGCGGAAGGTGTAGCTCGTTATTAAACATGTTCTGTTTCATGCTTGGTCGATATTTCAGAGGTAAGGTCGCGCAGTCAGATTGAATCCATCACACTCACGGTTGAAGCTGGCAGAAAAACCACACACTGAACTTTTTAAATGTGATTCACAAGAAATGAAAACTGCCAGATGTGCTGATTGATTTAAAGCATGCGAGCTCTCTCAGACTTTGGCTTCAATGTCCTCACACCCATGTTAGAACCCTGACAGCCGTCTGTCGCCTCGCGGTCGTCTCCACCTTTAGGGCGGACCGGTCCGCCGGCTGCTGCAGGACTCTGTGCTCTGACTGTGATCGCACGGATGAGGTGCAGCTCTCCAATGTAACCTGATTACTGTGCAGCAGCTGAATGAATCTGAAAAAGCAGCGCACACTTTCTCAGTGTGGGAAAATATTAGTGAGTCATCTAATTAGCCTGCGATGTTCAGCGATGATGTTCTGTGGCAGCAGACGTCATTAGATTAAACTGTTGTAAAATGACTGGATGTGAATGTGCCATTTATCTGGAACTGCAGACAAAGAGCCTCTGGAGCCTTGTGTGCATGAATATAGCCGCTTTAAGCTGATTTGTGGCACAGCATTGATGAGTGTTAGATAATGTCCGAGAAATGAAGGAAACTCTGAGGATGAGAAAAAGCTTGGCAGGACTGCAGCGGAGAGGCGTGGAAGAGGCACTCTTAACCTTTTAACATCTTAAGCCCCAAGGGGATTTCTGAGCTTCCTGCTCGAAAATGTAATGCCCAAATTTAATTGATTATTTCTCTGCAATTACAAACTCTGTCATTACAATCTTGGTATCAAAATAAAGCTAACACTTGGGAAATTTCATCAGAGGTGTAAATATTGAAGCAGATATTACTGTGTCAAAGTTACTGAGACTGGAACACAGAAAAAGTAAGTATTTTATCCTAATTTTTTTTTTTAATTTTTAGCATATAACCCTTTGAAAAATATGCCTCAGATCACATTTGGTTCCAGGATTTCAGTAACCAACATATAAACATCATCTGTGCAAAGATTTATGTTTCTAAAGTGAAACAGTGAAAAATTACAGCCCTGTCAATACATGAATATCCAGACGTTGTACAAAAATGTCCAATTTTGGCACAGAATTGGACACATGACAGTTGATTTTTTTTTTAGGTATTAAAGAGCAGAAATTAATACATTTTATTAACAGGCCTAAACATGCTTTTTTTTTTAAATATATTTTTGAAGAATCAGTGTTGGGTAAGTTACTTTAAAAAAGTAATTAATTACTATTACTAATTACTTAATCAATATTGTATTTAAAATACTTATCTAATTACTGTGTCTGAAAAGTAACTTAATTACTCAATAAGTAATTTAACTAAATACTTATTAAAATCCCCATAAACCTTGAGTGGACAAACAATTGAAATTAAACTCTTTAAATAATAAATAATTTTTAAAAAAAAAAATACGAGTCAACATGAAATAGTTTAGCCTTTTTGCTTCCTGAATCATCTTTATTACATTCTATTAAAAAAAATTCTTTAATAATTACATTTTTTAGTAAGGAATGTAACTTTCTTTAGCTAAGAAACACAATTCCAGAATAACAAATATATTTTTCTGCAACATATCTGAATAACAAAAAAGATTAACTTAAGAAATGTTAAACATGACATATTTCACGCAGTAAACATTAAAATTTTTACATTTTCAAAGCAATGAGTAACATATTCATACATAATGTATGTAATCATGTCATGTGATTCAACAAAGTGAAGTTAACTCTGAACTTTGGTTAACAAACAGAATTCCTCTGAAACTTTCTCAAACCAATGAGCACCATATTTCCTGCATGCTGTATGCAATCATGTTTTCCAAAACATTTTTTGTACTACTTAGCTGTGTTGTTTTTGAAAAAGTTGTTGTATCTCATTAATGTAAGTCTCTCAAAGCGTTCACTTGACAGTCTGTTCCTTCTGGGTGTAAGCACAAGATTGCCAAGGCTAAAAAGCCTTTCGACTGGTGTGCTTGATGGTGTGGCTGTGTTGTACCTCAGTGAAATGGCCTTAATCCTGGGAAACTGGCTAAGAACACCCAGCTCAGACCCAGCAGATTTCAAATATTCCATCACCTCTGTTTCAGCAGAGTAGGTACAGTCGTCCTCCTCAAATGAAAAAAAAGTCATCAGTGGAGTCAGCAGGGTTCTTGTGATCTTGAGCAAGTTGTTGGTCTTCAAGAGACAACCCACGGCACTCTGTAGTAAGCATTGCCCTAACCATGTCTTTTTTCTCTTCTTCTCTGGTCCAGCTTAACTTAAATTTAGGCAAAGTGACTGCAGCCAGGAGATCTTCTTTATTGTCCATCATTGAGGAAAAGCGCACCTTGATCGCCTATGAGAAAAAAATACATCAGACACTTCACATAAGAGCATGATAAATAAAACAAAAATTTATTTTAGGGTAAGGCTATATATAGATTACCTTAACAATGATATCAGGGAGGGATGCTGTCAGCTTAAGCTCGTCCTGCAGTGCCAGCGTCCTGGACATTAGAATCTCCAGAGTTGGAAGAAGGATTCCAAAATAGCAGTTCTCTTCTCCTTGCAATATGTCTAGTGCAACAGTGAGTGGCTTCAACACGATACAATACTCCTTTAGGAACAGATACTCCCGATTAGTAAAGCATTTGATTCCAAACTGAGTGCAGACAGTATTTAATTCAGCAAGGTTAATGTCAGTGATCCTGGACAGAGCGTCGTGAAATGAATTCCATCGTGTTGAAACAGGTACTATGAGTTTTTTCTTGAAAAAATTATCTACCAACTCTGAAGCAACAGAAGAACAGTTTGCTTTTGTCCACATTGCAGAACACTTTGAAGTTGCACTTCTGTAGATGAATTTTGCCTCATTTGCTTGAAGCCATTTCTCAACATCATGAAAAATTAAGTTCAGTGTGTGTGATTAAGTGCACCTTAAGTGTGGAGGGAGAGAAAACTGTCCTTCAGATTCTGTGGAGAGGGTCTGCTCAACATCAGTAAATGTCACCTCTTCATCTTCTTCCGATTCCTCATCAGAGTCTGATTTTTGGAACATTCTAAAAGCTTTGATAAAATTGGACCCGTTGTCAGTCACGATGGCTGTCACTTTTGAGTTCAGTCCATAAGCCGAATGTACTTGCTCGATTTCATTGCCGATGACATCATATGTGTGTCTCCCTCGAACTCTTTTACATGCTAGCGCTGCATGTCCTCGTACAAAAGTAGAAGGATCAATCCAGTGTGCCGTCATTC